TTTATATTGTCTTCTCCGTTAAACATTGTGCAGCATGACACTTTTTGACAGTAGTATGTTTTGTTATTTAGTAAGCTTAGTTTGGCACAAGTCAGTGTAACCCGGATATAAGAGAGTTGTCGGAACCGGAGAAGAAGTCTCTTATATCCGGGTTTGGTCTAATTTATATACATTAACACAGGCTCTAATTTGGGACCAGAGAAAATCTCTCTTATATCCAGGTTTCTCTTATATCCGGGTCACACTGTATAGAGCGCCCACTGATTAGGATTAAACACCTCGCTAGCACAATAGTAATAGTAGCCAGCTAGACTAAACTCGTTAATCTTTATGCCAGAAACACAAAAGCATTTGTCCCTGTGCACTTTCTCAAGGACATTTTGCATGAATTGTAACAGTACTAGTCAATTCAAATTGTTTGACATTGACAACTTTATTTTCTTTCAACAAGAAGAATTATTTTTCTCTCTTAACCAGAAAACCTCTCTATTCTCTTTCCTTTAAAAATAAGCAATGCAAATTATTTTCAAACTTCATCTTTTTCAGTAATTTAATTTTGAAAAAGACTTAAGAGTTTTCTCTATCCGAAAACTTATCTTCAACTGAGAAACTTAATTATTTGCTTAACATAGGACAATTATTTAAGGTTATTACTTTTTTTTTTTCTTTTCTTTAAAAAAAAAAGTCTCTATCTCTTAGGTTGACTTCGAATTTTGAATTCCAGTAAAATATTTTTTCTTGCAACAATAATAAACATTTGGGGAATTATCTTTTTCTTTAACCAACATTGAAAACTAAGGTAGGTGAAAATCTGTTTTTGAAAAGTGGAGGTATGGAAGTAGAAATCTGACCACATATAAATTGATTAGTTTTATTTTTGATACTTACAATGTTTATTATGACACAAGTGTTGTGTTGCGTGTTGTCTGTAGATTCTAGTAGTCTATCAGCAATTCTTTAGTAAGGGTCCCAACACTGTATCAATTGAATCAATGACAGATTATTTTCCTTTTCACTTTATTTTAGGAGAGTTGTAATAGGCATTGTTTCCTGGAAGAGAGAGAAAAAAAACTTATCAACAAGTCAGCACTTATCCTCTCCATGTGCATGACTTTTCTCCTTGCTAAAACTGTGTGTATGAAAAGGAATCTGGGACAGGAAAGGTTCAACTTCTCTACTACCTATTTTTGAGTGTTTTTCAGTTTTATATAAAATTTATGACAATTCATCGGTGTCAAGGATGGGGTTTAAACTACTCCACTCAGTTAAGGTTGTTTTGGAACAAAATTTGGATCAGTACGTTAGAGTTTAGCATTAAATTTACTACAATTATCATTTTACCATTTTTGTCTAGCTCAAGTATTCTATAATAAAGGCTAAATGGGGAGGAGAATGATTGTGCTATGTCAATTATCCAAGTGGAGAGGGCTTCTCTGATGTGGAAAATTTAGTGACTCCCCAAATTGAGTTGTGGCAGACAAAGACAAGACAATTGAATAGTTTAAAAAGCATATTTTATATAAGAAATACATTATACTTTAACATGGCTTGCCCAGCTCAATCCTGGCTCCTTTTCATACTGGTCAGTACTATTGCTAGTCAACTGATGGTTATCTGCTTGCTGCTTCATTCCTTCATCTGCTTCTGCCCCACAGTGTGTTCCTTGATCATAGAGCAATGAAAATTGAATTTAGTATGTACTTGAGCACTGGGTCAATCTGTGGCAAAACTGTGCTATGAAAGCATAAAGAACATTTACGCTGGTGAAAATAAAAATGATATAACAATATCATGAAGAAGGTCACCAGGTTAATTTTCAATTGGTTTATATAGCTTTTGATACAACAAAATTAACCTTTCCCATTAAAAACTCTATTGTGACTCTTTAATTTTTCTTCTAAAACTTGAAGTGGCTTCAAAAACAAAACAAGGTTGGGAATTCTCTCAACAGCAGGTCACGTGGATTCTCTTGGCTTCTGCTGGCTTCTGGTTTTTGGGTCGTTTAAGTGCCCGTTTATATGTATTTCATCTGACTTCTACTGCACCTCAAGATTCATTAATATTCATATCAATCCATTATCTCTCCAATTTTGGAAAACTGATACTGACAAATGAAGCAGCCCACAGTCAGTCACTTATTCAAAACAATAAATTCTTCAATAACAAACTTGTTTATAAATTCTTTCCTATGTCTTTGATGTCAAAGAATTTTCTTTGTTGTTAACATTTCAGTATGACCAATTAAAAATCTTTGCCCACTTTGCGTGTTTACAAAACCATGTTTCAGATTTACATCACCAGCTTTGCAAATCATAACAGTTGCATTTGTTTTCCAGCTGACAAGCAGTTTACATTTTACATTTCTCAAATCATATTTTAGACCCAACATTCCATTCTGCATTTTTGCTTATCAGAAAGGAAAAAGAAACATCTTTTTTTTTTTTTTTTCGTTGCAGCATATTTCAATTCATGTTTTCACCTTAATGTTTTTAACCCTTCCAATTCTGCAAATCCTATACAGGATTCTCACATGAATACTACCAGTGTCACAATAGTGTCTCATTATCCCTTTCAACCAGTGACACTTTATATTGTCACAATTCAATGAGAATTAAAAAAAGAATTGCTAAAACAAATTCCTTTATCAGTTAAAGTCATAGTATTGGGAGATTAAATCCAAATACATGTATCTGTGTGAAATTGATTGAAACATTTAACTGATGCCACTCATATTTTTGTTCCAATGATTGTCCTTGCATTAATCACCTGTTGACGGAGTTGGCTAAAACACATCCTTTCAGCTCACTCGTTTTGAAGCTTCTTAGCTCTGGCACCTAAATTTGGATCTTACCTATTATCATCTGATAAATAGACCCATCACCCTATTAGCGGGTCTTATCAACCAAGGGTAGATAACCTATATTTTTTTTATACTGCTTAGAAAATTTGCTTTTAAAATCTTTAGTTTTTATAATTATCTTATCCATAGAACAATCATCTGTTTGCTTTCCTTATTACCATTTAATACTGTTGTTGCATTTGCACAGCTAACTTTTAAGAATCATAAAAAAAAATTTTTTCTATATTTCTACACATATTAATTTTATATTTTAAGGCTATTATAAATTTTACTTTTTTGTTTTGTTTATATTTATTCATTTTTCCAAATTTTACTTTTTTTTTTCTGCTTCAAATGAGACTTCTATTGAATCACTGGTTCCTGTATGATCATTATACTAGCTTAAAAGCTGCCCTGTTGGGTGGCATTTAAGCTAACTCCTGTGGAGGGCTCTTGATTGGGCCTTCCTCACAATAGGTAGGCAAGAGTAGACGTGATAGGCAACTACAAACTACTCAAAATTGATGACTACATTGAAATATTGCATTAATATTTAAGCGTACCTTTTAAAAGTTCAACAGTAATTCTTTTGCTGCCACTTAATTTAAAGATAATTTGATGTATGTAGCTCCTTACTTTCCATACAAATAATTATTTTTATTTCATGGGTGACTTTTGCTGGATTTCACAATCAATTTCAATTACTCCCAAATTTAAAAAAAAATATCGCCGAAAACAATTGCAGTAATGAAAACTTGAGAATTCAAAAATTCAAGATTGCGAGTCCGGATCTGGTCTAGAATGTTTTTTTAATTTGCTCACGGAGTCGGCCTGATTCCAAATTGGTATGATATGTTGGGTTATGGCCTCTAGGAGTAAAGTTGAAAAAGTATGACACAGACATTTGCATTTATTATATAAAAGACTTGAAATATTAAAAAGTAAGAAAATTTACATACTTTACAGCATCTCTGATTCTCTTTACACTCAGCACAAGATGCAATTTAATTTTTAAAGTTTAACCCTTTAATGATAGTTTATCATCTAGAATTTAATAACTTTCAATTAAAATAAACTGAATCCAACACACGAGTAAAATTTTAACATCATAACATAATTAAACTCTTACTGCATTAATTCATTAAAACCTGTCAAAGTTGACAACAAGAGTAACAGCATTTTGCTGCTTTTTTTTTCTCTTCTGGACCAATAAATAGTAATGGAATTACCCAAATGTTTATTATTTTCATTCTTCTCCATTAGGTCTCACATTCTACTTGTGTTGGCAATGCACAAGTGGATTCTTGACTTTTTCAAGGAACTTAGAAGGAAACAAAAATAGCTACAGTAAAGCTTTCTTCTCTGCAGACTCATTTTCATCACTTCAGCATCAATTTGTATTATACATAAAAAATGAATTATTAAAATAATTTAAATTTATTCATGTTTTCCTATCAGATTTTTTTAATATTATTTTTTTCTTCTTCCAGATGAATTTAACTAATTAAAAGAAAAGTATTTTGAGACCAAATACTCCAAAATGAATGAAGATTTCTATAAGGAAGCTTGTCGAAAGAAACTGAAACAGATGCAGCAGAGTGATCTACATGTTAATGCTTCAAATATTCACTTTCAATCTGAATCATCTGCAGACTTTCATCCTAACGATCAAATCCGTAAAAATGTTGAAAGGATAAAACATTGTTTAAAGTATGACCAATATGATAAATTATTTTCCCTCATGCAACATATGAGCTTACCTGTTTTACTTGAAATTTTGCCTCACCTTCCTTTTGATAATTTGTACAAATCAATTCCACGGACACTACCTTTCCTGGATGTTATTTTTTCTCAACTCTTACAAGCTCCATCATTCAATAAATCTCTCTGGGAAATGCTTCAACTCAATCACCTCATGCCAAAATTAATTTTGATTTTTGCTAATGGTTTACGACCTACAATGAAAGGAGAAAAGAATTGCAATAGCTATTTTCCAACATGTCTGAGTCTTTTAATGACAGTATCCAAGTTGGACCCATCATTGCCTATTCAGTTAATTTCTAACCAGAATGCAATTAAGAGCTGTATTGATCAGCTTGCTGGCCATAGTCTTGTTGAATGTAAGAATAATTCCCTGAAAAGTCTGCCTTTGGCAATTCAAATGGAGTTGGCTGATGTCATTCAGCAAAAGAAGCAGGCTTTACAGAAATTAAATGACTTTTATGGCAAGATGTCAACAACTAATCCAAGTGATTCAAGTCACCAGCGTCTTTTACAGGTAAGTTTGACAGCATTTATATGTAAACAATTTTAAGTATCTATTTGCAATACAGTAGAAAACTTTTGAGTTCTTCTTACATACAGCATGCTCAAAATAGAGAAATAATATAATATTATACCTTATGCCAGATATATTTCAAGTAAATTTAGATTTTACAAACCTTTGCTACGGGCATATGCTGGTCAAGTGTATAGGTTGGAAAAACACATATCCTGCTATATATTTCCCACAACAATAATTACAGACTAGAATGTGAGTCCAGGCAATAAAATGTCAAATTAACAACAAAACTATATATATATATATAATCTCGAGATGGTGTAATGCTTAGCATGCTTGTCTTGCTAGAACAATTACGACTGAGTAGTGAGTTTGATCCTCACTGGGAGCCAATTACTTTCGGCCTTGTGCCACATCTAAGCTATGCTTGGAAAATCCCTATATATATATATATATATATATATATATATAGAGAGAGAGAGAAGATTGTGTGTATTTAGGCAGCATCTTTTCATATATAGATATATATATATATATATATATATATAGACATATATATATATAGACATATATATATATATATATATATATATATATATATATATATATATATATATATATATATATATATAGATATATTACGATAAACGTGCAATCAATTGATAAATTCATGAATTATTCACACAAAAACAAATGCAAAGGTTAATGATTTAATTGGCGAGAAATCCATCGTCGCAAAACAATTCAAATAACATACAAAAACCTCTGAATCCGTTATGAATGAAAAGATATATATATATATATATATATATATATATATATATATATATATACAAAGAATAATCACACATAGAATTAGTCAGAAGTATCAATGCGATTATTGGCGACATCCATCGCTAGAAAACATAATATATGCATTAAAATCCTGTTCATCCATAGTGCGAGTTTTGATCCTTGAAGAAAAACTTGTTGTCTGTAGTTTTTCAGTTTATTTGATGTTAAAATGCTAGTACTTACAGACAGTCTTCCATCCATCATCAGGCATTTGTTTTGTTTTTTTTTTTTTTTTTTTTTTTCCTTATAAAATCAAAAACTTGAGACGATATACCTGTGTGTCGACCGAAAAGATGTTTTTGAATATCTGCTATTATTGACGGTTGTAAGATATCGAACGTGCAAAGACGCAACGCTAAGTTTTCAAAATTTTTAAGTGAGAATTTTATTTAAATATTTCTTGTGATGTGTTAAATCCACGTATTCTATTTTTACAAGTGTATTCAGTTTTTATGTCATGAACTAAGTGTATAGTTCAATAATATAGTGTAATGTCATAGTAGTAATTTTTTTATAGGAATTTTTTTATGTACTGCGGATCGATGGTTTTTAATAAACATAAAACATTAGGCAGCATATATATATATATATATATATAGACATATGATGATGATGGATTCTTCCACCGAGTTTTACGTATGAGGTTCTGACAACCACAAACTAATTATCTGCATGCCTGAGATGGGTATGTACATTATTTACATTATTTGGACTATTGTCCTCATCTTTGTTGCCATATTTATTACAACGTTCCGGCCATTGTATGCGGCCTTCTTCAGGTGGTTGAAATGTCGAACTTAACTCTTTATTTCGCTCACTGGGGTAGACTGTTCTAGTTCCATGTGCTATGTTTAATGGATATCAGTTATCTCCTGTTAATTTCCCTCTGAAAGTTCTCCATTGCCTTAACCTGGTATTGAACTCACATCTTTGGGTCCTGTCACTGGATCTAAACAAGGCTTTATCCACTGTACCATGTACAAGGACACATGGCACAGTGGTTAAAGGCATTGGTTATCAAACAGAAAATTAAGTCCAAGTGAAAAGCAGTAAAGATGAAACCATTGGCTTCTTTCATCATATTGTATACAATCATTTACAAAAATCTGCTGAAATTTGAACTTGATCTTCTGATCCCATTTCTCTTGCCTCTCCTAGTTTGTATCTTGATTTCCATGCCTTATACTTGTAAAATCTTTACATTTGTTTTAATGTAGGTTTTAGTCTTCACGTAGGAAGATTGTGAGAGAATAAGTCTGATCCCATTTTTTTAATTAGATGAACAATGTTCCTCAACATTTTGAAAATCTGAAATCCGACAGTCTATTTCTTTATAAGATTATTGAATTAACCCCCACTACCACCAAAGAAATCATTGTCACTGGAGATTCAGAGTAAGATCTGTATTAACTAAGCCTATTCTAATAGTGGGAGTTACATGAGTTTAGAATCAAACTCATGACACATACAAATGTCTCTCTGAGACATCACGCATAAATTGCTCTCTGCCATGAGCTTAGTAACCATTGCGCTATGGTAGGCACCTTCAAGTTAAGCATATTAGACATACACAAAGGCTATGATGTTTGAATTTAAAAAAAAAAAAAAGCATTATTCAGATGAGTATCTTCATTACTTGTTCCTTTGAACAGAATGTTTTCTGCCCCATTGAATAACTACTTACACTTGAATAAAGCTAAGAAAATGCATCAGTTGAAATGTAGTGATCAAATCAAGTAGAAGGTCAAAAGTTGAAATAATTCTGAGAATAATAATCAGAAACAATTTCTATGAAGAATGAAATGGAAATTGTTTCCTTTGCTGTTCCCAACAAATTTGTTTGCCACTGATGGTAGAAACTCTGTCAACAAATTTAGCTTCAAAGAAAAAGATTTAAAATTCTGAAGTTCAATAGTTTGGAATTGTTGCCTTGAAAATTAATAGGTACCATGTCAAAAGAAGACTAGGAATATTTACTAATTTCATCAAGTTATCCTGTTTGTAGTGCATTTGAAATAGGCAAGATTTTTGTTTTATTTTTTTCATTGATATTTTTCAGAAAATCTATATTTTGATTGACATTTTTAAGTTTTTAATGATTTTTATAATAAAAAAATAATGTAGTCAGTCTTCTAATTTGTTTGATATATTATGTATATGCGTACACACAAGGGCTGCTGAAAAGTTCCCAGCCCAACCAAGAAGTGTTAAAAAAAATTCTCTAGCCAGGCAGAGAAATTTTCATCACACCTTGGATATAGGAAAGGAAGGCTAAAGATTACCAAACTGGAAAACATTGTCAAACTGAATTTGAATCTTGAATGAATCTGTTTATGTTCAATGTACATCAATGTTTGAGAAAGGCATGAATTGGCTTTTTCTTGCACTCTTTTCTATGACAATAATATATATATATACAGCATACAATGGGTGAATTGTCACCATTTTTAATTTTGCACATAAATGTTTGTTTTTGATTTTGTCAACTGCACAGTATAGTATGGTCAGTTGGGCACCGTCTGTGAGAAAAAGAACATGACACAATTCACTCTGCAAGAAATTTGGAAACGCTATGCTGTACTGCTTGGCATTCATGCCAGAAACTCCAATACGAACATTTCAGAGTGTTTGGGTGTAGAGTTGGATGAGTTTAATTTCTGCGACCACATCACCCCTTATATGTGGCCACATAACTCCCCAAACTGCAACTGCCTTGGTTATTATATGTGGAGCACAATTGAGTAAGAGACTAGCAAAACACCTTGTAACACCAAAGATGAACTGAAGGCAAGGATTATTTACCAACTAAAACAAGGAGACTGTCCAGAAGAGTTGCAGGAGATTCCGAAGTTGTCTGGAGGCTGTGGTTGAAGCCAATGGCAATTTTATTGAATAAATTTACTCTTTAATATTTCAAGATTTTTTGTGTAATTTTGGTAAATATATCTGTTAAAATGAGGTGCCAGTGTTATTTTCAGTTTTGAATAATTTAAACGACAATTTATCCATCGCACCCAATGTGAGTGAGTGTGTGTGTATATATATATATATATATATATATATATATATATATATATATATAAGGTGTATATTTATGGGATAAAGTGCTCAATATTAGAGATAGTATGTATAAATATAAAAGTGAATATTGAAGTCAACACTTAGAGGTGACAGGCTGTTTCATGCTAGATGCAATTGTCAGGCCATGATTGCATCTAGCATCAAACAGACTGTTGCCTCTAAGTGTTGACTTCAATGTTCCCTTTTTATATATATATATATATATATATATATATATATAAGCAGCAATTGTTGTAAACATCTTATTAAAAAGAATAGACCTTTTTATGTTTATTAAATTCACTAATCTTTTTTCTTTCTCATATATGCTTTTACTGTTTTACAAATGTGTCAGCTGTTATATAAAATAGCCAAAATTCAAATTGTGTTCAAGCTTTTGAATCGCATGAACAATTGCTCTTAGTGACATTACAACTGTAAAAATTCAAGAAATTCTTTTCTTCAATCATGAGATTGAATATCTTTCAGCTTCTCTGTTTTACTCATGCTCTTGATGATGACTTTTATCAGTCAAAAGCTTGGAGAAATAATTTTTGTTGATTTATGTATTAACAACAGCTGCATTTGCAAAATTGTAGAGTTGAGTATCCATGGACAAATGCAAAATAAATAACAAAACTGTCCAACAAACAGAATTAACAAAGTTTGCAATAAAAAGAAAAGGGAACAGGGCAAAAATGAAATAATATAAAACAAGCAAGCAAACAAGATATGCAAAGCAAAGTAACAGTAAGAAGACAAAAAGTTCACAAATTAAGAATTGGCATCAATACACAAAAGTAAGTTTGGACAAGTGAATGTAACATTCTGACTTCTAGACAAGGCAGATTGGGACTGATTCATGTCAAACTAAAATGGCCTATTTTATTAGCTAAGAAAATAAATCCAGCATACATTTGTGTGCTTCTGCCTGTAAAAGAGGAGGGGCAAGTGTTCTGTAGTCAGAGCAACCTGCATCTGATCCGCACAATCCTAGAGGGTGTAAAAGCTGTGCTGATCAATTTGGATCAGTCCAAGGTGTTTGATAAGGTCACCCATCAGTGACTGGCTGCTATCCTGCAGGCTGCTGGATTCAAACCTGA